ACATCGCCCTTATTTATTTACTTGTTTCGTGATTAATTGAAGCAATTTATTCTTATTCTTAACGCTAAATGGATATTCGTATTTTACTTGTATTGGAATTAGGTACCTTTATTCGAGGATTAGAAACAACCGCTACATATGACCCGAAAACTAGAGAATTTATCTTAAATACTCCTACTTTAACGGCTACAAAATGGTGGCCTGGTGGATGTAAGTTATCAATACCATTATCTTATCCTTCTCCAATTTTAACGAAGAGAACGCAATCACTAAGTTAAATTTATATGACGCAAGTAACAATATTAGGTCTCTTATTTACGTATTCATGTTTTGTTTAGTGGCTAAAACTGCCACTCATGCTGCTGTGATGGCTCAATTGTGGACTCAGAATAAGTGTTATGGCCCACACTTATTCATTCTCCAGGTTCGTAGTCTAGAAGATCATACTCCTCTACCTGGAATTACCCTAGGAGACATTGGCGATAAATTTGGGTATAACAGCATTGATAATGGCTCTATGCAATTGAATAATGTAAGAATACCCCGCGATCAAATGTTGATGAGGCATTCGAAGGTAAGTAAAGATATACAGTAATCTGTATACGAATGTAACTCGACCCGTGTCATGATTTATGTAAATGTTTTTTACATATCGCTATAGGTTACACTTGACGGAACCTATATCCCTCCTAAAAATCCCAGACTAGCTTACGGAGCTATGACTTTATATAGATGTCAAATATTGATCATATGTTCTGGCTATTTAGCACGAGCATCTACGATTGCCGTTCGCTACAGTGCAATACGCCGTCAGACTGAAACAAAACCTGGGTGCCGTACTTATTTTCATACTCTTTTATGATATAGGATAGATACCATTAACGATATACTAAGATTATTATATAAATCTGTTTTAGTTACGAACCTAAAGTCTTAGATTATGTAACTCAACAAAACAAACTATTCCCTCATATCGCTGGCGCTTATGCTCTTGCATGCACTGGTCGTTACATGATAGATTTCGGTAAAAGAGCTACTGAACGGTTAAAACTGGAAGATCTAAGTGTCCTAGCCGAGGTTAGACAAATTTCTGATTTCATAGGATATATAGAAATGTTAAATAATACCTACATAAATGAACAAAAGTAATAACGATTTTGTTTTTATACTAGTTCCATGGAATTAGTTCTGGTTTAAAGC